CAAGGCAGCATCACACATCCTGAGCCAGTGCCTTTGATATCTCCAGCTCCGCAGGGCAAACCCCACCATCAGCCCCCCAGTCTGCAGGAGAAACTCGGCTAAAGGGTTTTAACCTGAGCACATCCTAAACCAGCACTTTGGGAAGGTGAGGACCCGGGTCTGTGCACTGCCAGCACACACCAGAGCCGTCCCTGGAAGGGCAGGGTGGCAGCTGGGTGACAAGGGCACCCGCATCCCACCAATGGCATCTGATGTCAGACGGGGCAAACGCAGCACCGCGCCCACAGCTTCCTCTGCCAGAGCTGAGCCCTGCAGGTGACACTTGTGACAGGCCAGAGGTTTAGCCCCAGACCTTCACCCATCCTGGACCCGCACCCACCCCAATCCTGCCTGTTGGCAGCTAACTCACCTTCTGCAGAATTTTGGCCAAAAATTAAGACATTCTGAGCTCAGCTGCTCCTACACCTGGGCACCCACCTGCCCTGTCCCTCTGGGTCTCATTTAAAAGGCAAACCAGGTGAAGATGACCTTGCCCCCATGCTGCCTTCAGCTCCTGGGGCCATCCCCAGACACCATCCCCACCTCCCCTCTCTTCTCCATCCCATAAAGGTATTCAGGGCTTCAGTCCCTAAATAACCACACAGAGCTGTCTGGTATTGTGGATCCCAGCAGCCACAAAAGCACTTGAGGCAGAAAGCAGGGCAAGGAGAAAGGTGGGAGCGAAGCCACGGGGATGGTGCTGTGCACGGTGCACGCACGCACGGATCCGGCACAGCTCCGCTCTCATCGCATGCTACTGTCACCGCAGTTAAGGGAGCTAAAATAAACAGGGATGGTTTCATCCCTGCAGGGATAATTCCTCCTCCGGGGTGGCGTGTGTCTGCAGGGCTGCCCCCGAGGTTGGGGATAAGGCAGCCGAAGCCAGCGGGTTGGAAATGGAAATTTCCCAGGAAGGGAGGAAATCGCTTCTTTCTGGGGCGTAACGAGCCCTCGCCCTCCAACAACTTTATTTGCTGCTGTCGTGTCCCTAAATAGCTTCTCGAAGCAGCTGCTGGGAGTTTACATCTCCCTCACCTCTGCTCCCCTCCCAGCTTGGGGAAATGGGCTCCTGCAGCCCCGATTCCCAACGCGATTCACCCCAAGCAGAGGGATAACCTCTGGCCCCGCGTGGCCGTCCTGCAGCCGCTGCAGGGTCCCCGTGGCACCGCTGCCGGCCCTGGCACAGCCCTCCGGCTACGGGCCAGGCTTCAGGGAGTGCAGAACCGCGGGAACTGTTGGGTCTCTAAGACCAGGAGTGGGAACCACGAGCCTCTGGTGGGGCTGGAGCCAAGGATGCACTTGGGGTCCTTTTGGAGAAGGAGTGATGTTGTGCCAGGAGGGAAGTGGTTCCCTGCATGCAGCGGGGCTGGTAAACCCACTCCAGTGACCCTGGAGTTCAGCATCCCAATCCCAACCTGTTTGCCATCGCTGCCCATGGCTGGGGATGGATGCGGAGAGAAGAGCACATGAGGTATGAGATGTGCCCAGGGGAGCAAGTGGCGAGGGGGGGTACACGCGGGGCCCGATGCTTGTGCTCAGCCAAAGCGCTGAAGTCAGCACTCTCCAGAGCCATCTGTTCCCACCGAAGCCCCGGCGCAGACGGACTCACCCAGGCTCCCGGCAGCGGATGCCGCAATTCGGTGATTCATGCGGCGAGGGGCCGGGGACGGCGTAAAGCCAGACACCGCCTCTGCGGCCGCGCCAACACCAGGGCTGGAAAATTATATATTAGCCACACTGTGGAAAAGCTTTTTCAACCAGATTTCTGGTCGCGTGAGGTGGCTTTTAAACGGCAGTGCAGCTCTTCGCAGCCGGACCAGAGCCCTGACTCAAGCTGGTTTTTCCCTTATTCCAGAGCACAGGTAACCTCCCGCTTCACGGGCTCTAAATGCTCGTTTAAAAAGGCCAAGTTCAGCAAACAGCCCATTAGCAAAACCAGCGAGAGCCTCCGCACTTGTCTCCCAGGTGTAATTGCAAAATGCAGCATCCACAGGAGCTCCTGGGGTGTCTCAGACCTGTTTTTTCCCTGAATTACTCCAAGCTGCCCAGCAGTCCATGCAGGGCAGGAGCCCCAGGGCAGAGCAGTCAGCCTGCACAGCTCTGCAGACCAGGGAAACTGAGGCACAGCAGCGCAAAGCAGCAGCAGGAGGTTGCGAAGACCCAACTGAACAGCACTTACTGTGCAGCCATCCCATGCCATGACGGGCACTCAGGCACCCCGCTCTGTACCCAGCCCGTTGCCTTTCAGAGTGGCACACAGACATGCAGGAAGGCACATCCTGGGGAGCTGCGGGAAGGGAACGGCGCAGCCTCGCCCGGCCAGTCTCAGCCATCCCTCACCAGACACTAATCTCCACCAGCTTTGTGCAGTCTCATTAAAGCCAAGCTGAGCTGTAACTCATCGGAGCAGGGAAGTCCACATCAAGAGCTGGCAGCGACGACTTTCAGCTTTTCAGGTCTCCTTCCAACAGCAGATGGGTGTCACTCACCGCGTCGTCTTCCCGTCTCCTCACCTGCTGCAGAAAATGGTTTGGGAGAGGCTTCTCCAGCTGCTGGGGAGAGCAGAGGGCGAGGGGGTGGCTGCCCAGCCAGGCTGCCTCGTTGACCTGCAGACCACCGTGGCAGGGACATACCTGGAGCAAACACCCACAAGGTTAACGGTGCCTGAAAGCAGCACCCGAATGTGACCGGGGCCCTGGGAGGGTCCCTCAGAGCCCAGGCTGGGACTTGACAGGTGGCAGAGCCGCGTCGCTCCCCAGCCCCAGGGGTGCCAGGACACCCCTCCATCACCTCTCAGCCCCTCTCTGCTCCCTGTTACCGGCCTCCCAGCGCCACCTAACGACACGGGGACTGGGGATAAGGACCTTCACGGGGAAGCCGGACACATCCCAGTGCCCAGAGAGAAGGATGGAGAGTGCGGGCAGCAACCGGGAGGCAGCAGGACACCGGCTGGGGCTTGGGGACACAGGCAGCAGAGCAATGGGGAGCTGGAGGTGTTGAATAAGGATTTACATAATCGTAATGATCCTTCTGCCCAGGAGGCTCAGTCCTCCATCCCTGCCCTTCGCTGACCTTGATCATCCCATGTCTTTCCCGCAGCCGGGCATTAACCCCAGGGCCTTGGCCAAGTTCTGGGTTGAGCAAGGACACTCAGCTCAGCAAGGACAGACGCTCCCCTTAATCTGTTGTCACAGCCCCAAAACTACCCTGAAGCATCACCAGTCTGGGAACAGCCGCTCAGCGCAAGCACGGTAGCCTGTACCATGGCTACAAAAGCACTCTGCCATCAACATCCAAGGTGATGTGGAAGAAAACTCCGAGGAAGAGCCGGCTCATCTCTTCGCAATACCCACAGATTTGATGCAGCCACAACCACCCCTTCACTGTCACGTTTCTGGCTGGGCTACCTACCAAAACAGTTGCTCCCTGCCCTGAGCACAACCCCCTCGCCCCCACATCCCGCTTTCCAAAGTGCTTATCCGCCTCCAAACCCAGAGCTGACGTAATCTGCTCAAGAGTTCAGCATTAGGACTGCATCAGCCATGAGACGTAACGAGAGCCACATCACACAAGCAGCTGTTCGACAAAAGCTTTATTGCTCGTTTGCGTATGAGTTCCCAGTATCGCATTTCCTGAGTTTCTTAATGAGCTTGCAAATGAGATTTAAATAGAAAAGGAAGGGGGGAGAAAAAAAAATTTAAAAAGGAAAAAAGAGAGAGGCCACAGATCCTCCTTCCCTAAGGCTGGACCAGAGATGAGGTGGGAGCAGTGCCCGGTGGGCAAGATCTCTACCCTGGGAGAGGGCTCGGCAGGGATGGAAGTTGAGCATGGACCTGAGACAACACCCCTGGCTTCATTTACCCTCTGCCTCCATCACGGAGCCTAATTTGTTCCTCCACAGCCACCAGCAACTGCCATTGCCATCGTTTCAGCAGGTCAGAAAGGAGCGGTTGCAGTCCTGCAGCACTCCGGCGGGCAGCTGGGGCCAGCAGGACGGCCAGGGGAGGGGGCCACGGTGACACGGCCCCTGCGCCACGGATAAAGAGGAGATTATGGCTCACAGCTTGTAATCTGGCTTAAAACCTGACACCGTCACCATAGTCAATTTGGGCTAAGAGAAGCATTTAATAAGCTTCAAAATACACAGGCCAAAAAAAACCCCACCAGTGAAAGGGCTCAAGGCATCGCTTGCACCAGTCAGCACCGGCAGGTACCAACGAACACAGGATCCCTCATGATCCGGAACGAGGCAATTACACGCTTGTTATCCCAATCCACCCCAGGAGCTAGGACCCAGGCTCTGCCAGGGCTTGACTGTGGGAGGCAGGAATTAATGCCCTTGTCTGTTTGTTCAGAGCTCACGAGCAGCGGAGAGCCAACGGTCCCTCCCTGCGCGACAGGAGCTGCTTTGCCTTGGGACATGTCGCCGGAGACGCCGGAGCTGGCTACCAAGCCAGCCACAAAGAAGCCAGACTCAAGCAGCAGGTCCAATTTGGCTTTCCTGGAAGGGTTTATTTAAAAAACAATTATTATTAAAAGAAGCCTGCTCGGGCACGAACGACGAGGCAACAAAGCCATTTGGCTTGAGGCTTAAAGGGAAGCAGCAAGACACAAGGAAGTTCATCTCTGCAACTCGCCATGGGGAAAGCGCCTGGCCAGGACTCCTGCCAGGTGCACATCTCCCCTCCCGGCCAATTTAACGCTCGAAGGATCCAAATGACAAGAATCCCTCCCAAGGGCAGCAGCCAGCTGCAGGGACACGGGGCCAGCCAGCAGCCTCAGATGTTTTGAAACAACCCGCTTTGGGAACCCAGAGTTCATCATCACTAGAGATGCCCAAGTGCCACACACCTCCCCAGAGCAGCCACCAGCCCCGTGCTCCCAGGCCCTGCCCGTAGCCTGCTGGCATTGCCCCAGGACAGTCCCAGCTGGCCCAGCACCATGTCCCCATCATTGCTGCTTTAGTGACCAATCAGCTGCAGCATCTCCTGAAGATCCACTATCTTCTCTCGGGGTTTGCCAGCAGCTTTGCCTCTCGCCACTTCAGCAGCATCTATCTTCTCCCAGTCCGAGAAGGAAACGGGACGGACCCCTGGGGTGATGGCGAGACATGGGAGGGAGAATTTAACCAAGTGAAAATGAGTTCAGCTTCACCTTCTCGTCAGCAGGGACCTGACGGGCGAGCAAACCCTGCCCTTTCCCGACACGGCGTCGGACTTCAGCCTCACAAAGGGAGGAGAGGGATGGCAAGTTCCAGTCAACTCAGATCTTTACGAGCTGTAACGACGGCAAGCACAGCACCACTTTGGGGACAAAACGCTTCCAGTTCACTGTTAAGCCTCAGACAAGTTAAGAGGCAAAACACGCACACTTTAACTGAACGCCTTTAAACACAGCAACAGCAAATTACTCTCTTGGGCATTTTAATCCTTCTCCCAACTTGCCTGGAAGGATTGCTAGAAAAACCACTCCGGAGCGATAGCTCGCTGTCCAGGCAGCTGACAGCAGCAGTTTACCCAAGATCTGTGCTGCTTCCTTCCCAGAAAGTGGTCATTAACCCTAGCAATGACACCGAGTTTGAGAGAATTTTAGTCCTGTTCTCCCTGGGCTTCGGAGCAAGAAAACAGCAGCACAACACATTTCTTTGGTTTGGACTCTGCTCCCACAAGCAGCTTGCAGGACTTGCTGCCCCAGGATACCCCAATCCAGGAGGAGTTTGGCTGCACCATACCTTCATGCTGGCTGTTACAGCAGCTGTCCCACACCCCTACTGACCTCGGCTGCGCAGGATGCTCTCCACAGCCCCAAAACCTTCTCTGGAGGCAGAGACGTCCAGCATGCCCACCTGGAGATCCTCCAGCACAGACTGGGCAGTGTCAAAGCTGTCGTTCATGGTGGTGATGATCACGCCCGTGGGTCCTCTCTTCACCCACCCGCTGCAGTATAGACCTGCACAGGCACACAGAGCAGTCAGGTTCAGCACATGACCGTGGACCCTCCGGGCTGCAAGTCCTCGCCCTGTCCCTGGGTGTCACATCAAGCTGCAGGCAGTGGGAGGATCCACCCCTGTGGTGGGGACAGAGCGCGGCCCTTCAACGGTGCTGTGACAGCAGTTTGTGTACCTGCAGACCGGCACCACGCGGCCGTACGGGCTGTATCGCTTCAGTAACAGACCCCAAGGCCCAGTAAAACCACCGTAACCTTCAGCACTGTTTGCTGCACAACCAGACACCCCCAAGGCGAGCTGGGGACGGGCCAGGTCTTAACGCCCAACAGAGGTGGCTCGTTTCGTCAGTTCCCACTCTCTGACTGCAGCGTGTGTCTGCCTTGTGCCAGTGCCCATGGGTAAATGGAGCTTCCCATCTCGAAGCCCCTTACCCACCAGCTGTGCTCGACACGCGGCCCAGCATCCCCCTGCAGATACAGACCTGGGACACCCTCCACTCTGCCCGAGCTGTTGGGGATCACGCCGCGCTGGGTGTCGAAGGGTACCACCGGGTCCAGGGGCAGGCGCCGGGAGGCA